CTGATGGAGGTTCAAGTCCTGAACCTGGCAACTAGCTCTCTCATTTTCCCCTTCTCTCTCCTTCTGTCTCTCTCTGGTCAAATTTTTTTTTTAAGAGGTTTTTGCTATAGGGTGCGTGCACTTGCCAGATAGACAGAGAGAGACATAGAGACAGAAAGCGAGAAATCACCCCCCAGGGGGGATGGTCACGCCGCAATCCCTTCTCCTCCATTCTCCTCTCGGGATCTTGGGCACGCACGCACACGCGCCCGGCGTGAGTTTTAAGCCACCGGGTCCAGGACACGAACCGCTGTCGACTACGTGGGACTCCAGAGACATAGCCATTACGCTAACTGCTGGTTCCCTCTCTGGTCAAATTTTAAAATAATAAATAAATAAAATAATTCTATTTTTTAAAAAAGTTTGTAAAGTGGAAATAAAAATTCATTCCTTCCTTCCATTGCCTCTCTCCAAAGGACCAATGGTTAAGGGAGCCAGAGCCAGCATGGCCAACTGCAGTCCAAATCCTAGCCTAGCGATTTGAGAAACACACCAGGTGTGTACATATGCAGTCCCCAAAATGCCAACAGAATGGAGAAATGGAGAAAGGATTACACAATGGGCATGCCCCATTAGAGAGTGCTTTCTCCCTCCCTCTCTCTCTGGCAAGCACATCCACCTTCTGAAAACAAACAAACAAACAAAACCACTCAGATGTATATCCTTACAGTCTTTTTCTGCTTAGAGAGTCTCCACCGTCCTCTCCCAACCTCCTCCATGAAGATCTCATTGCTTAAGACAACTGCTTCACTCTTGTCCCCTTTTCTGAGAAAGGTTATCTCTGTCCAGGGACTTCTAAGAAAGAAAGAGATGGGGCCAGCAGATGGTATAGTGGTTACATCAGTGGACTTCCACATGGCCGACAAGGTTCAAGTCCCGGACCCAGTGACTTGAAACTCATGCCAGATGTGTGTGCTTACATGCCCAGGATCCCAGGAGGAGAATGGATTGTGATGTGGACATCCCCCGGGTGGTGATTTCTCACTGTCCCTCTCACTGTCTCTGTCTCTCTCTCCAGCAAGTGCACACATCCTAAGGCAAAAGCCTCTATTAAAAACAAAAAGAAGGATCTGTAGTTGGCATAAGTGTCATCGCTGGACTCCTACAGAGCCGATTGAGGTTCAAGTCTTGACCCAGTGACTTGAAACTCATACTGGGCACATGAGTGTGTGTGCTCAAAATCCCCAGAGAATAATGGAGGAGCAGGGATTGTGGTGTGGCCATCCCCCCATGGGGTGATTTCTTGCTTTCCGTTTCTGTCTCTGTCTCTCTAGTGAGCGCATGTGTCCTGTAGCAAAAATCTCTTTAGAAAGAAAATCGAAAGAAACAACAACAAAGAAAACCAACAACGTTCCACATTCCTTCTGGTTCCTCTGCCTTCTGACTCCACCATCTCTCAAACCAAAGAAAACAAGACAAGCATGAGGGAGGCCCAGCCAGGTGGTGTGGTGGTTAAGGCAGCTGGATCCCACATGGCTGACTGCATGGTCTGAGTCTCAGGCCTGGCCTCGGCAGTTTGAAAATCATGCTGGGTGCATGTGCACGTGTGCCCAAAATCCAGAGAGGAGAAGGGTTTGCAGTGGGGTCATCCCACCTGGGGCGTGCTTTCTTACTTCCCCCCTCTATTTTTCTGCCTCTCTCCAGCGAGCACACACATACACACAGCCCATGTCAAAATTTGAGAAAAACAATGGCCGGCAGGTGGTGTGGTGGTTGGGGCACTGAACTCCCACATGGCCAACTGTGGTTTGAGTCCCGGACCTGGCAGCTTATTTTCTTACTCTCCCTTTCTCTCTCTCTCTCTGGTGAGCATGTGTATCCTACAGCAAATTAAAATAATAATAATAAATAAAATTAAATAATTTTTGGAGAGGTTTTTTTTTTTTTTTTCTATAGGGCGAGGGGCCTCCCCCGAAGAACCGAGAGTCCCTTCTCCTCCATTCTCCTCTCGGGATCTTGGGCACGGACGCACACCTGCCCGGTGTGAGTTTTAAGCCACCGGGGTTCTGGACGCGAACCGCGGTCGACTACGTACGTGGGAGTCCAGAGACATAGCCATTACTTTAACTGCTGGTCCCAGAAAATTAAATAATTTTTAAAAAAGCAACAAAACAAAAACAAAAACACAATGGTTTCTGGACTCCTTTGGCCACCTCTGAGCGTCTTGGCTTCCCGGTAGGCGTGGTAATTACGCTGCGCTAGGTGCTAGTAAAGACTAGAGGCTGATGGGGCAGGGCAGGGGCACGAGGCGGTTCCCACACGCCAGTGCTCCTTTCTCCCCACTCTCACCCCTCTTACTGCGCTGTTATTGCTTCCCTTTCATTTTAGTTTTTGCCACAGACGAAGAATCCCAAGTGTACCAAGTTCTCTTCCAGATTCCGATCTTGTCGTCGCCCTTCCCTTCTCTCTCCTGGGCTTCATCCTTCTGTTCTCACTTCCCCATCGCCCATCTGTGATCTTGGAATCTGCTTAAAGAAGCCCAAAGAAATCTGAGAGGGTAGGAGAGGGGTAAGGGGGAGGGAGCTGCTCTCCCACACAGAGAGGCCACCAAGGCCCAGAGCGTCCACTTCCTGTTTGTGGAGGCCAAAGTGGCAGTTAACCTAATCTCCCGGCTGTCCAGCTGTCGGCCTGATAACCGACTTCCTCTAGTTCTACTTTGTCTAGGCATTTCTGGGGCTTGAGACCACAGAAACGACCCTCGGACCCACCTGCCCTGACCTTCCCAGGGACCCTCCTAGGGGCAGGGATGCACAGGGTGGTGCCCACTCCCAGGGCTAGTAAACTGGGGCTGAAGTCCGGCACTTGCCAGGGATCTGCTCAGAACTCAGACAGACTCCCCTGAGCCAGGAGTCACACCTGCCCCCTTGTCATGAATTGGGAACTGGGATTCAGATTTGCCCAGCTCTGGTGGGCCTTTGGCTAGGGAAGGGTAGGTCACATAGCAGAGGGTGTCCTTAAGCACCCAGGTGGCAAAATTAGGAGTGCTTAGGAAATGGCAGTGTGAACTGGCGTGCGCTCCTCCACCATCAAGACTGTGGAAACCCAACTCTGTCTCATCCTGAAGAAGCAAAGTCACCACAGGGTCTTCTTGGTTACCCGCCTGTCCTTTTCCTGGGACTGCCTCTGTCTGCAGCCCAGACTGAGACAACTGTCCCCAGCCACCCTGAGGCCCCAGAGCAAGAGTGCAGGGAGAAAACAGCAGGCAGAGACGGCGGTGCCATGGAGGAGCCACAAAGGCCAGCCCAGCCAGGTCAGAGTGCAGAGCCGTGAAGAAACCAGTTCTCAGCAGCAGAGTCTAGGACCAACCAAAGAGCAGCTTTCTTGGAGTTCATGGCCCACGAATCCTTGATACGAGAGCAGGGGTGGCGTTTCCTGTCCTTTCAGATCTTGGATGATGGGCTTCCTCAAGGCCAAAAGCAGGAGAGTGGAGAGGGGGTAAAAGATGGAGCAGGAGGGTCAGAGGGACAGGGTGGAGGCTGGGTGTGTGGAGGCGGCCAGGACACTGAGGGCAAGGAAGAGCCTTCCAGGGCCTCCTCTGGGCAGCTGCACTCACGAGGCTTACTTCGATGGTGGCTGAGGGTGGTGAGGATGACAGACACGGGACAGAGCTGAGAGGGTTGTTGAATGGAGGGTAACGGAAGTCTCTGGTCCTGAGCAGCCGCAGCTCCCCTAATGGACACACGACCCCTCACCAGTGGGAGCTGGGAGGACAGACACCAGCTGCTTCCCTTCCCTCTGCTCTGGTCTGGAAACCCTGTGGCTCTCTCCTCTGGCAACCTCAAGCCCAAACTTAACCCTTTTCCCTAGCCCATAAAAACTTCTCCTTAGAACTCGCATCCAAGGAGACTACACAGCCTCAGCAAGTTTCTACAAGAGGAGGCAGGGGTGCAGGCGGTGGCCCACCTTCAAGTGTGAGGGGACCCTTCGCTTCACAGTGGAGACCAATTTGAGTAGATTTCCCTGCCCTCTCTCTTGTCCAGCCCCTCAAACACTGGCTTCTCGGGGTGAGGGCAGCCTCGCAGGGGGTGAAGGACATCAGACCTCAGCTCTGCTTCCAGTTCTTAGGAGTGAGTTAGCATTTGCCAGAAAGCCCTTAGTATGCCCCAGATGTTACAGGTGCAGGTTCACAGCCCTGGGCAGTCCCTCTGGGCAGATTTGGAAAAAAAAAAAAAGCTTTATGACTCGCTGCGTGTCAGTGAGTGGCACTACGTGGGGTGCCCCTGGGCCCTGCCACCCAGCCTGTGGCTTTGAGACGCCTGGCTGGGAGATGAGGGGGAGACACTCCACTTTCACCCCTGGGGCTCTGCCAACTTTCCGTCCACATCAAAGCTCATGAGAATGAGTGGACCTGGGTGCGGTGGAACCTGGACACCCTCCTGGGAATGGGCTCCGCCAGGGCGGCTACAACAGAGAGGCCCGGAGACCCGGCGAGGGGCCGCGGGCATGCAGGGCTATGCCTTTCGGAGCACAGCTGTCTGGATTAAGAGGACTGTCTTTGGGGAGCGCAGACCCTGGCTGTGGAGGTGAGAACAGACTGGTCAGCCGCCCCAGGTGCCTCCAAGTGGCTAGAGACAGGCCCGAGTGCACGGATGCCAGCTGCCGGCGGGGGAACTTGCACGCACGCACACGCACCCAGCCACTGGGCACATAGGCACAGGCACACGCATTCACACAGCCACGCACGTGCATACACGAGCACAGAGGGTCACACATGAGCACACCCACCACCCAGATACACTCGTGCAGGTGTGTGCAGAAAGGCGCATGTGTGAAAGCACACGCGCGGCCAGCACACAGGTGTTCAGGAGCATGCACACAGAGGGACAAACAAACACACTCCCAACTCTGACTCCGGCCTCCCAGCCACTTGAGAGCGCCTCGGCCAGCTGCCCTGCCCGGCCATTCGCTGGGCGGTCTACAGCCCGGCCCGCCCCTTGGCCCGCCCCACCCGCAATTGGTTGTATAAATCTCCTCCCCTCGCCTCTTCCCTGCTCAGCCCTCCCTCGCCTCTGCCCACTCCTGGCAAAGCAGCGGGACCCAAGTGTACTGCGACAGCATGGGTAAGGAGGGGGCTTTGATACCTGCGCTGCGCCTGCCCCTAGTTCTGAGGGTCCTCCCTATAAGGAAACCTAGTGGGGACGCCAGTCAGGGGCGAGAGCGCTGGACTCTGCTACCTGGACTCTGCTACTCTGGCCCTGCGGGACACATGACCCCGCTTAGCCGGAGTTCCTGAGGGCGTGCTGGGAAGGTGATCCCGGGCCCCACCTAGCTCTGCACAGCAGAGCCAGAGTTCCCCCTGCAGCTGAGAGCAGGTGTGTGGGGAGTTCTTCAGGGGCGCCTCTGCTGTCCTTCGCGCTCACCACAGAGACAGGCAATCCCGACTTCAGCCCTGGGGGGGAGGGGGGGTACCCAGGTCACTCTGGCTACTGCACCACTGATCTCTTCAGGGGGGAAATTAAGTTCCCTTCTCACTGGGGTCCTGTTTTAGCGCCCCACCCTCCCAGTCCCACAGTCCTCCCTGTCCTTGGTCTGTGGCTCCTGGGTCAGGCTAAGGAAGCATCCAGATCTGGTTGGGAAGGCTGAGGTTCCTGCCCCTTGTAGGGGGCTCTTCCCGGGTGGCAGAATGCCCAGCAGCCAGCCTGGCGTTGAAAAGCCAACGAGCTTTCCCTGGGTTAGTCTCAGACCCAAGGACGCTCAGAGACTTTGCCTGAGAGGCTTAAGACCAGGGGGCACAATCCCCAGAAAGGCAAATGATGCTCCCTGGGGCCTGAGTCACCCCCTGGGCCCCACCCTAAGAAATGCCGGTGGGGGGCTGGGCTGACATGGGCAGCCACTATGGAATGGGCAACCCCTGCTTGGCACCTTGACTTTTCACTCAGTCTCTCTTTGACTCTGTAGTTTTTGTATCTCTGACTCAATACCTTGGGGTGCCTTTTACATTTTTTATTTTATTTTATTTATTGTGATTATTATTTAATTTGACCAGAGAGAGAAAGAGGGCAAGAGAGAGGTAGAGGGAAAGTGAGAAGCTTCCAGGTCCAGGACTTGAACCATGGTTGGCCCTGTGGGAGTCCAGTCCTTTAACCGTCAAGCCACCTGCCAGCCCATACGTTGGGGTTTTTGAGTTTCCTTCCCTATGTGCCCGGCAACCACCTTCCCACCCCCCTGGCATCCCGTGCCAAGCCCTGACGCAGATGGGCTGTGAAGTGGAACAAAGTCTCCCTAATTCTTTGGACTAGCCCTCACGCACTGCCCCTCCCACCTGAGCCCTCTGCTTGGGCACCGAGCAGCACCTGGCGTTCTTTCCTCCTCTGGCACAGCCCGACCGTATTTATACATTCTTCACTTCTGTGAAAGTGTGTTTGCAGCCTGCCTGTGGCATGGTGTTAAAGTGGCTGGGTCCCACATGGCTGATGTCATGGTTTGAGTCCTGGACCTGGCAGCTTGAAAAACATGTAAGGTATGTGTGTGTGTGTGCACGTGTGTGTGTGTGCACGTGTGTGTGTGTGTGCGTGCGTGGGTGTGCGCGTGTGTGTTCAGCATCCCAACAGAAGGAAGAAATGGAGAGAGGATTGCAGTGTGATCATCTCCCATGAGGGGGGTGGTGTGTGCTTTCTCTCCCCCTTCACCTCTGGTGAGCGCATGCACTCTAGCAAATTAAAAGAAAAAGAGAGAGAAAAAGTGCTTTTGAATACATTGTCTTATTTGCTGGTGTTTTATACACATACGCACGAGCATATTTGTGCAATATATGTATATATGACAGGGTCCCACATGGCTGATGTCATGGTTTGAGTCCTGGACCTGGCAGCTTGAAAAACATGTAAGGTATGTGTGTGTGTGTGCACGTGTGTGTGTGTGCACGTGTGTGTGTGTGCGTGCGTGGGTGTGCGCGTGTGTGTTCAGCATCCCAACAGAAGGAAGAAATGGAGAGAGGATTGCAGTGTGATCATCTCCCATGAGGGGGGTGGTGTGTGCTTTCTCTCCCCCTTCACCTCTGGTGAGCGCATGCACTCTAGCAAATTAAAAGAAAAAGAGAGAGAAAAAGTGCTTTTGAATACATTGTCTTATTTGCTGGTGTTTTATACACATACGCACGAGCATATTTGTGCAATATATGTATATATGACAGAACTTCTGAATATGCTGTTTTATTTTACTTTCAGATCTACCTAGAGAAATAGGATATTGTTATTATCATCCCCTTTTAACAAATGAAAGGGAGAAAAATGGAGAGAGCACGTGCCAAACCTGGAACTTGAAACCAAGTTTCTAGACTCGAAAATGCTGCTGCCTCTTGCCTTCCCAAGGCTGCCAGGAACTGGGGTCCCAGGTTCCACTCTCAGCCACTCCTGGCTCTCTGTCAGGGCAGCGGCCAGGGCAGGAGGCAGTGCCAGTCCCGTGCACTCCGCCCCAGGATTTCCTTCAGCCTGCGCTGTCGGTCACCCTTCAGCCCTTGCGTCAGCCTGGCTCCCACCCAGGCTGATGCTGGGTGCCAGCCCTCCTCCTCAGTGGCCGACTTTGGCCCCAGAGTGGCCTCTTTCTCCAGACTCCTCAGACTGGGAGGGCAGCTCCCTACAGCTCCGAACTTTTCAAACTTGGGCCCAACATCTTACTTGACAGATATAAGAAGCGGGGCCCACCCATGGGTAGACATGGGCTTGAGGACATCCAGCTGGAACTAGCCTCTCAGCCTTGAGCGCCAGCCTCTCGCCCCTCGTCTGGGGGGCCAAACCCTCAGTTATATAATCCAGGCCCTGGCCAGCCTGGGACAGCACCCTGAGGAGGGAAGAGCAGGGAGTGCCTTGGGTACAGAGCAGACACACTTGGGGACAGGTGGAGCTGACCCACCGGCTCACCACTCGGGAGTGTGTGGGGATGCTCCTTAGAACGCAAGCTGCCCACTGCACTGCACTTCCCTTTGCTTCTCAGTAGAGTCCTGTAGTATTCTCACCACCTCCTTTTGACAGATGATGTGGAAGTTGAGGCCGAGAGGTTAAGCCCTTTGCCCAGGCTCCCCACGCTAGGCAGTGGTAGGCTGAGGTTGGGCCCCAAGCCGACGTCATAACCACTACCCCACACAGCCTTTGCAGCTCTCACCTTCTCCCACCCTCCCTAGGCCTGTGGAGTGCCTATCCACCTTCGAGACAGGTCTACCCAGCTCTTCCTCCTCTTCACACTCACCAGGGCTCACTGGGAAGGGCCGGGAGGAGCCCTGGGGCTGGGGAGGGACCTGGCCTGGCCGGCCACTGTGGACCAGAGGACAGAGGGAGAGTCTTCACTCTCCAGGGCCCAAGCTCCAGCCAACATGCCCCCTTGTTTCCACAGCTACAAAATGTGGGCAGTGTGGACCTGGCTACGCTACCCCTCTGGAGGCCATGAAAGGTAACTGCCCCGTGTCAGACCCAGTGCCCTCCACTGACCCCACAGCTGGTGGGGCTGCGGGCCCCCAGACCTGGCCTCCACCCTCAGGCACACCAAAGGCTGCCTCTGCCACCCCTCGCCGGGATGCTTTCCACACTGCCTGCTTTCTGCCCTCCAGGGCCCAGGGAGGAGATCGTCTACCTGCCCTGTATTTACCGGAACACTGGCACTGAGGCCCCGGATTATCTGGCCACCGTGGATGTGGACCCCAAGTCTCCCCAGTATTGCCAGGTGCGGTGGAATTTGGGCACCAGCGCCCTCCCCAGCTCCATCCTCCCGGCCCTCCCGGGTAGAGTGGTGCAGGCTATTTACTGTCCCAGGCCCCAGAGGGAAGGGGGGTGTTGCTCTCCAGCCCCGAGGAGCGGAAATGAGTGGGGCCGAAGTACACGGGGCGGGTTCTAGGCTAGCGCCACCCCTGGCCCCTCTTGTCCTAGGTCATCCACCGGCTGCCCATGCCCAACCTGAAGGACGAGCTGCATCACTCCGGGTGGAACACCTGCAGCAGCTGCTTCGGCGACAGCAGCAAGTCGCGCACCAAGCTGGTGCTGCCCAGTCTCATCTCCTCCCGCATCTACATCGTGGACGTGGGCTCCGAGCCCCGGGCCCCGAAGCTGCACAAGGCACGTTCTCTGCCCTCGCTGGCTCCTGGACACCCTAGGGCACGGGCCGGCGGAAGCTGCCCCTAAAGCAGCAGCCTCCAGCTCTCCCAGCATCAGACTTGGCAGCTGGCAGCTCCGATTTCTGAGGAGAGTGACCTGGGTGCACTGAGGGGTCACCCTCCAGCACCCAGGGGCCAGGGCACTGGAGAAGAGGGAGGCTGTACTTTAAAAAAAAATATTCATTCATTTATTTTAATTTGACCAGAGAGAGACACAGAGAGAGAGGGAAAGTGAGAACAAAGCCACCAGGTCTGGGGCTTGAACTGTAGTCAGCCATGTGGGAGTGTCCAGCACCTTAACCACCATGCCACCGCTGTTCTGCTATACTTCGAGGTGGAGAGGGAGCCATTTTCTCACCCAGATGTGAGCTCAGGGCTTCCCTTAGGCAGGAGCCTCCGGGCCTTCCTCTCGCCATCTGTTCAGTGCCCTCTTGGTGCCAGGCACTCGCTGTGCTGGCTGCCGGCTGTGGTGGCAAAGTTGACACTGGCATCGGCCCAGCCCTAGCCTAGGAGGAGCCGTGATGTCACGGGGCTCAGGACAGAGGAGTCGGGGCCTTCTGGGGAGTCACTGGCAGTGTCCCGGCTTTCCTCTGTGGCTCTCCAGATGTTGCCAGGCCTAATCTCAGCCGTCTTCCCGCAGCAGGGGTCATGTCCGTCCTCTGAAGGAAAAGAGGGCTGGGTCAGCAGGTAGAAGTGGGGGACAACGGACTAGGGAGCACTCACGGCCCCGTGAGATGCTGAGGCCATCCCCCACCCCCTCCAGGTCGTGGAGCCCAAGGACGTCCATGCCAAGTGTGACCTGGGCTACCTCCACACCAGCCACTGTCTGGCCAATGGGGAGGTGATGATCAGCGCCCTGGGGGACCCCAAGGGCAACAGCAAAGGTACCTGGCAGCACCGTGTGAGCCCGAGAGCCTCCCAGCCACGAGGCGAATGCAGACAGCACCTGTCTGTGGGGAGAGCAGGCCCAGGGGGCGGGGGGAGGTGACATCCCAGGGAGGTGTCATTCAATATTTAAAATATAAGAATGTGGGACCAGCAGTTGGCATAATGGCTCTGTCGCTGGACTCCCATGTAGTCGACCTCAGTTTGCGTCCCGGACCCGGCGGCTTAAACTCACACCGGGCGCGTGTGCGTGTGTGCCCAAGATCCCGAGAGGAGAATGGAGGAGAAGGGATTGCGGCGTGGCCATCCCCCTTGGGGGGGTGATTTCTCACTTTCTGTCTCTTTGTCTCTCTCTGTCTTTCTGGCAAGCGCACACACCCTATAGCAAAAACCTCTCCAAAAACAAAAACAAAACAAATAACAAACAAAAAAAACCTCATGCTGGGTACCTGTGTGTGAGTGACCAAAATCCCAAGAGGCAAAGGGGCTGTGGCATGGCCGTTCCCCTGGGGAGTGATTTCTCACCTCTGTCTCTGTCTCTCCGGCAAGTGCACATTCCCTATAGCAAAAATCTGTCTCTATTAAAAAAAAAAAATAGGTAACTTCAGGAGTTCCGCGGATTTCTACAAAGACGAGCCTTGAGTGATGACTGCAGTAAAAGTTAGTCTAAACAGTCTGCTGTGGGAAGCGTTAGCACAGGCCAACGTACCTTTCATAGCAGCCTTGGCGACTTCAGGAGCAAGTCTCGCGATCCTGGGACTCCTGAATCTTCAGATTTGCGGCCTCTTTCTGGAATGACCAGAGTGGACACGTAACATGTCTCCAGGGTGTCAGACACAACCTGGGAAGTAGGAGCTATTATGATGCTCGGAGTGGGAATGAGAAAGCCGGGGCTCAGCCTGGCGCAGTAACTTACCTGAGGTCATACAGCAAATAAGTCGCGGAGCTGGAACCCAGCATGCCGGCCCCAGAACTGTGTCCTAATCCCCACGCTGTGCTGCCTCTCAAGGCCTCATCTACTTCCTCAGAGCCCTCCAGCCAGGACTGGGAGAGGGACATCAGTAAGGTCCTCCAGCCCGGGGTGCTGTAGTGGCCGCCATGTTGCTGCTCTGCGGGACACAGGGGAGTGAGCCGTTCCTAGACTTAAGACACTTGCAAGCAGACATCTGCTTGTGTCTGCAAAGATATTTCGAGGTGCCATAACCTACTCAGCAGAGGAGCGACATACTGGGCGCTCACGTTGGCTTACAAAGAAACATAATTTGTCTGTTCTATTAAAAAAAATTGTAGGGGGGCTGGCAAGTGGCATGGTGGTTAAAGGTAATGGACTCCCACATAGCCGACTGCGGTTCGAGTCCTGGACCTGGCAGCTTGCTTTCTCACTTTCCCTTTCTCTCTCTCACTCTGTCCCTCTCTGGTCAAATTAAAATAAATGAATAAAAATAAATTAATTAATTTTTAAAAATTGTAGGGAGTAGCCCAAAGCTTGGGTCCTCAGAGGGGTCCCACCCTGAAAGCGGGAGACTGGGCAAGAGAAACAGGGGGCTGAGTCTCAGAGATCTCTTGGCTCAAAGGGAGAAAGTGTCCGTGTGGTGTGGGAGCTGGAAGGGTTGATGGGAGGTAGGGCACCAGAGGAACAGCCCCGCCTCCCACCAGGCTGCCTGTGGGCCCTTCAGGACTCTGGATTCAAGGATCTGGCAAACCCAGCAGGAGAGGAGGGGCAGGCAGTGGGCTCAGAGCCCAGGGGCTGGGGGAGAGCTGGGGGAGCATACGCCCACACCTGCTGCTCTGCTTCCTTCTCTGCTCAGGGGGTTTTGTGCTGCTGGATGGGGAGACGTTTGAGGTGAAGGGGTCCTGGGAGCGGCCTGGCAGTGCTGCCCCGATGGGCTATGACTTCTGGTACCAACCTCGACACAATGTCATGATCAGCACCGAATGGGCAGCTCCCAATGTCATACGAGATGGCTTCAACCCTGCTGATGTGGAGGCAGGTAAGAACTCCCCACCGCTGACAGGGGCCCTGGACCCATGGCCCCTGCTTTCTGCTCCCGAAACCCCGCTCTCTCTGTAGCTTACGTCCCTCGTGTGGTCCTCAGACCTTTGGACGATGGTCTAAGGTGTGCCGAGTACTGACGCGCTCAAAGTGTCCCTCTGGTCCCTCCAATCCATTTCTGACCTCTGCCCTGGCCAGTGCCTCTCCTTTCCCCACGTCCTCCTGACTGGTCCTGAGCCCATCCGCCCTGGCCAGTGCCTCCGCCTTTGCCCACGTCCTCCTGACTGGTCCTGAGCCCATCCTCCATCCCCCCACCCCACCCCTCAGGGCTCTACGGGAGCCACTTACACGTGTGGGACTGGCAGCGCCATGAGATCATACAGACCCTGCCTCTGAAGGACGGGCTCATTCCCCTGGAGATCCGCTTCCTGCACAACCCGGCCGCCGCGCAGGGCTTCGTGGGCTGCGCCCTCGGCTCCAACATCCAGCGCTTCTACAAGAACGAGGTAGCCTGGGGACCAGCAGTTAGCGTAATGGCTATGTCTCTGGACTCCCATGTAGTTGACCGCGGTTCGAGTCCTGGACCCAGTGGCTTAAAACTCATGCTGGGAGAACAGAGGAGAAGGGATTGCAGCGTGGCTATCCCCCCTGGGGGTACGAGGTAGCCTGTGCCCTCGGTCCAGTAGTCTTGCTGTGCCCACTCAGGCTTCCCCAGGAACAAGCACCGAGGCCATGGATGCTGCCCCTGTCCTCCCAGGGCTGGGCTAATTCCACCGGAACCCTAAGTGGCCCCGTTCATTCATTCACAGACTATGATGTGACCTTGCAAGTTTGGAGCTAGCTGGGTGTTGGTAACTCGGTGAAAGGGGCACAACCATGCCTTAAGGGGCTTGCGTGGAGTTAGGCAAGAAGGGCTTGTATCCACCCCCCACCCCAGGTCCTGGGGAGACCCAGCTCTGACTGCCAACCCCAACTCGGGTAAGCTCACCTCTCTGCCTCTTCACCGCCCAATGTAGGGAGGTACTTGGTCAGTGGAGAAGGTGATCCAGGTGCCCCCCAAGAAAGTGAAGGGCTGGATGCTTCCCGAAATGCCAGGTGAGAGTGCAGGGGAGGGTGGGAATCAGAAGGCTGGTCCCGGCCAGGGAACGAGAGTCCTTAAAGCCTCTGAACATGCCCAGGCCTGATCACCGACATCCTGCTGTCCCTGGATGACCGCTTCCTCTACTTCAGCAACTGGCTGCACGGTGACCTGAGGCAGTATGACATCTCTGACCCACAGAGGCCCCGCCTCACCGGGCAGGTGGGGCTCTGCAGGAGCTGGGATGGAAAGGGAGGAAGGAGAGTCTGGGATGGGGGGGCCATGAGTAGCGGGGACTGTAAGGGAATGCAGGAAAGGAAAGGGGGGAAGGTGCAAACCTGGGACCCTGGGAGCCATGGCTGGACAAGGGGTCCATATCTGAAGAGTGAGGGGTCCCAACAGAGGCAGACTGCTGTTCCTCCTTGTCCTCCCTCACCCCCTGCCCCGTTGCCCCGTCCAGCTCTTCATCGGGGGCAGCATTGCTAAGGGGGGCCCTGTGCAAGTGCTGGAGGACCAGGAGCTGCAAGGCCAGCCGGAGCCCCTGGTGGTCAAGGTGAGACTCAGGCCCCTGAGGTCCCCTGAGCGTGCTCTTGGGGTTCGGGTGGTGCTGTGACCCCCTCCTAGGAGCTGTGTATTACACTGTGGTCTGACCCCTGGCTTTCCCAAGGGGAAACGGGTGGCTGGAGGCCCTCAGATGATCCAGCTTAGCCTGGACGGGAAGCGCCTCTACGTCACCACATCGCTGTACAGTGCCTGGGACAAGCAGTTCTACCCCGAACTCATCAGGTGAGAAGCGACCGTCTGGGTTCCTCTCCCAGGGAGGTCGCTCAGAGCCTGCTTGCCCCTCAGAAACCACCCCCGGCACTCGAAACCCCGGGGAGGGGCGGTCGCCTCTCACCCTCCCTGACACCCTTCCACTTTCACACCAGGGAAGGCTCAGTGATGCTGCAGATTGATGTAGACACAGTAAAGGGAGGGCTGAGGTTGAACCCCAACTTCCTGGTGGACTTTGGGAAGGAGCCCCTCGGCCCAGCCCTGGCCCACGAGCTCCGCTATCCTGGGGGCGACTGCAGCTCTGACATCTGGATCTGAAGCCCGCTCCTCGCAGCCCCCACTCCACATTCTGGGCCCTCGCTTCTCCGGGGACCTGGCTTCACTCTGCCCTCCCTTGGCCCCTGACCCCTGGCAGCTTGTCCCACCAAAGCTAAACTGAGCCTGGAGCTAAGAACAGACTGAGTGGCACCTCCACTTACCGACCACTGTCACCTGCCGCTTTCTGTGCCATTTTCACATGAGCGCTCGATGCACTGGGAAATAAAATGGTGAACCCGAGCCTCACATCATGTTGTCTGGGGGGCCTGGGGCCTGCGACTCCTTCTCCGCCTGACCCTTGGTCTCCTGCACAGAGAAGGGCTGAAGAGAACGCCAAGGGGGTTAGAGTGCCTAGGTCACACAAGTGGTCACGCCATGATGCCAACAGTGCCACAATCGCACATTGTGGCCAGGTAGTCGGAAGATTGTGACGGTGATTGTTGCAGGAGACCTGGGGAGAGAATGTCAGTCGGTGCACGTAAGCTTTTCAATGAACCCGAAATCTCACCCACCAACCCAGGAAATGCAGTGCTCCCCCACATAAGACCTCCTGGAGTCCTCTGGATTACGGTGGACACTGTCATCTATTTCCACTGCTGGGATGTTACGGGGACAACACCCTGTTGTTGAGAGGCTACGTGTGTCACCCCTTACCTGGAAGACAGCACATTCCATGCAGGAGGGCTGGGAACAGCAATGTGAACCAACCCACCAGCCCGGGCGAGGGCACCCTTGTCCTCTCACCTGAAGGGTGTTGTAGAACTTTGCCCAAACCAGAGATGTCTCCTTTTCCTGTGCTAGATCTTCCGTTTCGTTTGTTTTTGTAAAAGAATTATTTATTTATTTAATTTTATTTATTCATTCATTTACTTTAATTTGACCAGAGAGAGAGGGAAAGTGAGAAAGCAAGCCTCCAGGTCTGGGACTTTAATCGTGGTTAGCCATGTGGCAGTCCAGTCCCTTAACCACCATGCCACCTGCTGGTCCTGATCTTCAGGTTTTTTTTTTTAATAATTTATTTCATTTTATTTTATTATTATTATTATCATTTTTAAAAATTTGACCAGAGAGAGAGGGAAAGTGAGAAAGCAAGCCTCCAGGTCTGGGACTTTAATCGTGGTTAGCCATGTGGCAGTCCAGTCCCTTAACCACCATGCCACCTGCTATTCCCGATCTTCGATTTTTTCTTTTTTCTTTTCTTTTTTTTTTTTTTTTTTGAGAGGTTTTTGCTATAGAGCACGTGCACTCGCCAGACAGACAGAGAGAGACGAGAGACAGAAAGCAAGAAACCACCCCCCGGGGGGATGGCCACGCCGCAATCCTTTCTCCTCCACGCTCCTCTCGGGATCTTGGGCATGCATGCACACACACCTGGCATGAGTTTAAGTCGCCAGGTCCGGGACTTGAACCACGGTCAACTATGTAGGATTCCAGCGACATAGCCATTATGCTAACTGCTGGTCCCATCGATCTTCGATTTTTTACAAAAAGTTTACTTCTTTCTTTTATAAAAGAAAGTGAGTGACAGTCACCTCCTACAAAATCTTGAGGTTGCAATCCACTCCCAGCCTCAGCCAGCCCAGGTCATGGGAGTGCACCCATTTACACAGCGAGGCCCTGGGATGCAAACCCAGGCTCCTCCCGGGTGAATTCAGCATTCCACAGCTGCATTACCACACTGTGACCACGGTGCCCCTGACTAGTCCCAGTCTACTTCATCAGAAAAATCTGATGGGGGCCAGGACCAGCAGATGGCGTAATGGCTATGTCGCTGGACTCCTATGTAGTCGACCGCAGTTCGAGTCCTGGACCCAGTGGCTTAAACTCATGCCAGGAGCATGTGCTTGCGTGCTGAAGATCCCAAGAAGAGAATGGAGGTGAAGGGATTGCAACGTGGCCATCCCCCCTTGGGGGGTGTGATTTCTCACTTTCTGTTTCTCTGTCTCTCTCTGTCTTTCTGGCAAGTGCCCATGCCCTATAGCAAAATCTCTCCAGAAAAAGAAAAAAATATATCTGGTGGGGGGCCAGCCAGTGACATGGTGGTTAAGGCGGCTGGATCTCACGTGATGGAGTGTGTGGCTCAAGTTCTAGATACAGCAACTTGAAAAAGATGCTGGGTGTGGGCGTGTATGCCCCAAATCCCAAGAGAATAGAGAAGGTATTGCTGCGTGGCCATCCCCCCAGGGGGGTGCTTTCTCCCTTTTCCTCTCTGTCTCTTTCAATCCCTAGCAAGTGCACATATCCCACAAAAATTGAAATAAAAAAAAAAATCCAATGGAAGTTTCAGGATCCTCAAAAATAGCAGCCAAACGGTAATGTTTTTGGTAGTTTGTTTGTTTGTTTTTGGAGAAGTTTTTTTGCTATAGGGCGCGTGCGCTCGCCAGAAAGACAGAGAGAGACAGAGAGATAGAAAGCGAGAAATCACCCCCCAGAGGGGATGGCCACGCCGCAATCCCTTCTCCTCCATTCTCCTCTCGGGTTCTTGGGCACGCATGCACATGCACCCAGCGTGAGTTTAAGCCACCGGGTCCAGGACGCAAACCGTGGTCAACTATGTAGGAGTCCAACGACATAGCTATTATGCTAATTGCTGGTCCCCAAACGGTAATGTTAATACTTTATTCTCTACCCTGAATAATATTAAACAATATTTAGGTATTTTCTTTTCAGACTTCTGCAGAGGTTTCTTTCTTTTCATTTTTTTTTTAAGGAGATTTTTGCTATAGGGCACATGCATAAGCCAGAGAGATGGAAAGAGACAGAGAGACAGAAAGCAAGGAATCACCCTCTGGGCTGATGGCCATACCATCCCTTCTCCATTCTCCCCTCAGAATTTTGGGCATGCATACACATGCACCCAGTGCTGTTTCAAGCCTCTGGGACTCACACCACAGTCGGCCATGTGAGAATCCAATGCTGTAAACGTTGCACCTTCTGCTTGTCCTGAGGTGTCCTTTTTTGCTTTGTTTTGTTTAAAATAATTATTTATTTAGTTTTATTATTATTATTAATTTGCTATAGGGCACATGTGCTCACCAGAGAGAGATAAAAAGAGATTAAAAGGCAAGCTGCCAGGTCCGGGACTTGAACTATGGTTGGTCAGCTGTTTGAGAATCCATCACCTTTAACCGCTATGCCACCTGCTGGCTCCTTTATGACATATCTTTTGTTTTGTTTTAGAGATTTTTGCTATAGGGCATATGCGTTTGCTGGAAAGACAGAGACAAAAAGCGAGAAATCTCCCCTCAGGAGAGATGGACACACTGCAGTCCCTTCTCCTCCACTCTTCTCTTGGGATCTTGGGCACACATGCCCACATGCCCGGTGTGAGTTTTAAGCTGCCAGGTCAGGGATTCAAACCGCAGTCCAGTGCCTAAACCACCACATCACCTGCTGGCCCCTTCCCTAGGTGTCTTCGTTTTAAACCTTGGAGTGTTCTGAGGTGCCCAGAGGCCCTGGCCACCCCAGGAGTGCACTGTACTTTCTTTCCCCTGCAGTCTTTAGACATGCCCCCTGAAACGTCTACCTCAACCTGGGTCCCGCTCTCTCCCTCTGCCTTATCTACCATCTGAGCCAGGCTATCACATCCTCTGAAAAGCCTCCTTCACTAACCCCTGGGGTCAGGAATGCATCTTCTTTTTCTTTCTTTTATTCTTTCCTTTGTTTGTTTGTTTGTGAGATTTTTGCTGTAGGGAGTGTGTGCTCACAAGACAGAGGACAGAAAGCGAGAAATCACCCCCCAGGGGGAATGACCACACTGCAATCCTTTCTCCGTTCTCTCAGGATCTTGGGCACACATCCACACGTGCCTGCTGTGAGCTTTAAGTTGCCAGGTCCAGGACTCGAACTGCAGCCAACTACAAGAGTCCAGTAATGTAACTATTACACCAGTCACTGGTCCTATCTTCTCCTTTTCCTTTTAATTTTTATTTCCAGGGGTCACATGTGCTCACCACAGAGGGGGGCAGGGAAAGGGAGAAAGCACCCCCAGGTGGATGTGATCACACAATTCCCTGTCCTCCATCTCTCCATCCTGTCAGGATGGCAGGCACACGTGCATGTGCACCTGGTGTGTTTTTCAAACCATTGGGCCGGGATTAGAACCAGCATCAGCCATGAGGGATCTAGCTCCCTTACCACGAAGCCACAGGGCCTGTAAAGCTTCAAGCACTTGGGGCCAGCAGGTGGCGTGGTAGTGAAGTGCACACTGGACTAGCATATGGCCGGTCATAGTTCAAGTCCTGGATCTAGTGGCTTGCTCACTTTCCTCCCTCTACCCCCGTCTCTCTCTCTCTTTGGTCAAATTAAAATAATATAATAATGATGAAAAAAAAAAGCTTCAAGCACTTGTCCCATTATGAACACATGTCACTGTGAATTGAAATTCCCTGTTAATTCCCAGCATCTAGTTGGATATTGGCACATAGTATGTTAATGAATAAATTAATACAAAGGAAGCATTCAAGATGGGTAAGGAATTATAGCGAGCCTTGGAATCTACTGAGTCTTACTAAAAGTTTCTCCTCCAGGTCCCTGCCCTGTCTTCTTTAATGGTCAAATTTCTTCAGAATAAGAAAGGATTACATAGCTCTACATCATTTCCTTCTTAAAAGCTTAAAATTCCAATCAAGATGAACCTTGAGCACCTGTCAGACCAGAAAGCAAAGAAACTCTTGAAGACAACAGGGTTATGCCTAAAGGAGAGGTGACACATCTGAGAAAAGATCCGTACTAGGAATGCGGGGAAAGTTCTCACAGCTCAGCAGGAGGGACCAGCAGATGCCATATTGGTTAAGTCACTGGACTCCCATGTAGTTAATCACAGTTCAAGTCCCGGACCTGGTGGTTTAAAACTCAGGCCAGGTGAGTGGGCATACATGCCCAAGATCCCAAGAGGAGAATGCAGAAGGGATTGCAGTATGGCCGCACCCATCCTTGGGGGTGATTTCTCGCTTTCTGTCTGTCTGTCTGTCTGTCTCTCTCTCTCTCTCTATCTTTTCAGCGAGTATATGTGCACTATAGCAAAAATCTCTCTTAAAAAGAACTCAACACTGGGACCAGCGGTGAGCGTAATGGCCATGTCGCTGGATTCCCATGTAGTTGACTGCCGTTTGAGTCCCGGACCCAGTGGCTTAAGACTGAGGCTGGGTGCGTGTGCGTGCGTGCCCAAGATCCTGAGAGGAGAAGGGAGGAGAAGGGATTGTGGCGTGGCCATCCCCCCTGGGGGGTGATTTCTCACT